ATATATTAATATAAAATTCTATATTTATGTTGCTGAAATATAGATGATTTTGCTGTATTTGAGAATTCAAATCATTTCTTGTAACTTAAATAAGAAATGAGATTTATGCTTTAATTTAGAATTAATAAATTTTCTCTAAAGAGTTCTCAAATACTATTGAATTATAAACGAAAAATATAAGATTTAAATTTATTAAAACTATTTTCTAATTTTGTCATTATTGTAACTCAATTAATTATTCGCATATAAATATAAACTTTTAACTCTTCCTAATTATTGCTAGCTGATTTCACAATATTATGAAACAATATATAATGAACAAAATAATACTATTATATTTATGCAATTATATTTGATTTAAATATATATATATAATGAGTTGTAATATAAACGAAAATTTATAATTTTCTTACCAAAATTGTTTAAATTGAGTGATTCTAAAAGATTATATCATATTATAAACTCTGTTTAATAAACCTTTATATGTTTAATCAATTAGATACATTTAATTGTTTAATAAATGAATTAATTACCATTAAATTTATTTTATTCAACATTACAGCCAACTAAAATATAATTTCAGTAGATTTATTATTATATTTCATTCAAAGTAGTTTTTTTGCTTATGGCGATTAAAATCGGTAAAAATAAATCATTAAAATTGAGCTAATAATTTTATTATTATTTATAAAATTAATCCGTTAAAGAATGTAAAAGTAATATTGTACAATGATTGATCATTCCTAACTGCCAATATATGGTATTTGCCTTGATCCTGCTTGTCATTCACTAAGACCATATTGTAATTAGTGCATTAAACAATTACATTCAAAACATGTTGCATCTTTAATATCATTTGAATAAATTTAATCATGGATTAAAAGCAGAATAAATTCTATATCAGAAATAAAAAAATTCATCAAATTGAGCTTAGACTTAATTAATATTCTTGAATTTGTTAATAATTTTTAAGAAAAGGAAATCAATTAAGAGAATATGGAAACATTACGAATATCGTAATTAAATTTGCTTGCAAATAATTTAACAAAAATAGATCATTTATTATAATTCCCTAATTGGAGTTAGACAAATAAATAACTTCTTGAAATCTTTAAATATTGTCAAACCATGAAAAATATTCATTATTTAGAATTAAATAAAGATTAAGCTGAAAATCAAAATGCATTGGAATAAAATATCCCAGTATAAGTTTAACCGGAAAAAATTAATGATTAAGAACTTTTAATTGATAAATTTTAAGATTAATTTCAATAATAATAATTAGGATTAGAAAAGGAAGACTTTAAATAGTAAGAGTTTCCTTAAGAATTAGAAGTCGAATTTTGGTCCGCTACTAGATTTATAAGAACTAAACTATTAATAAACTTATAAAATAATAACGAAATTCAATATATTCTTGATGGATCCATAATAAGAAGGTAATAATATAAATATTTAAATTAAAATAGCGATTAAATAAAAGATACTTCTATAAGGCCAGAAATATTAACTAACTTAGAGTAGATTTAATATTTATAATGGAAAGGGGACTTTGGAAATAATAATAAGAAGATAGGAAAATGGATAGCTACATGGATGGGTAACACTTTGGATGGTGTAGGAGGATAATACACCAATGATGGAAAAAAAAATGGCAAGTGGAAAGAATTATTTTAGAATTATTGGAAGTTAGCTTAATTTAATAATATAATAGGGAAGCTCAGGTGTATGAAGAAGGTGTGTATGATAATGATTTAAGAATAGGAAATTGGATATATAATTATTAGGATAAAACAATGTAAAAATATATGTACTAAATTAGTAATGGTGGTAAATATAATTAGAAAGGTGAGAAGGTTGGATAATGGACAGAATTGAGTGGAAAATTTTGGGATAAATCTTAAATAATTTATAATGGTGAATATTAAGATGGAAAAAAAGTTGGTAGATGGGTGATACAGTATGAAGGAGTAGAGATGTAATATTAAAATATAAAATATAAGTGGTGGTGGATAATATGAGGATTATCATCCTTTAAATATGTTGTTTCAAGAATAACCTTATTATTCATTCTTGTAGGAAAGGTTCTAAGTTTAATCATTACCTTTTTCTGAAAACATTAAAGCCAATGATGATAATGCGAATTCGAATAAAAATGGGAAATGGATTGAATTGAGCGATGGATTTTATTGCAATTCGTAAGTCACATATGAGGGACAATATAGGAATGGTAAGAAGATTGGTAGATGGGATATTTGGTGGAAAAAAAATTATGATGATAAAATAAAAGTTTAGATGTAATTATTATAATCCTTTTTCAGTGGTGGTGGTTTATATGATGAAGAATATTCTTTTAAGATAGGAAAATGGATTGAATAGAGTGAAAGATTCTGGGATAATTCTTAAGTTATTTTGAAGGGGGAATATAAAAATGATAAAAAAATAGATTTGTGGACTATTGAAGCATTTGGACAATTAGTGTAAAATTATATTAATATTTAAAAATTTTAGTGGTGGTGGAT